GCTTAAATACTATAGAGATTCCCTCTATGAAATTGCTTTAGTACAGTCCTATTGAATTACTGTATAACTTGAATTAAAGAATTGTATTGTTTTTGAAATCATAAAATGTATTACATTAAAATAAATTTTAAATAATGAATTTTGGAATGGTAAAACAAAAAATTCCTATTATTTTTTGCATATCTACTGTAGAATAATAGCTCTAAGGCTTTTCATAGTAAAAAGCTTTAAATTTCCAAAAATTGTTTCTCTTGCTTTGCAGTTTCTCAGTAGATATTAATTTATTTTATCATTTTAAGAGAAAAATTTGATGTCTTAATTGAATTAATTGTAATATCTTAAAATGTTATAAAGTTAAGAAAAATCAAAAGAAATAACAAAACAGCTGTTAAATCATGGAGGGGGAAGGTTGAACTCGAGTCTCAACTCTTCATGAGGTTGATTGTTCAATTTATTTTAACTGCTGTAATCCCGCTACAAAGTTGCAGCTTAAGCTGGTTATCAGGGGTTGTATCAGGAATTATCCAAGTTAATGAAACACTCTAGGACGCTCTAGGAGGAAGGCTGTTTCCATGGTAACCTGATGGTATGATAACTTCGTGTTAGTGTATTTGATCTCCAACCAGGATTAGTTAGTTTACCTCTGAGTGTTTGCTAGGAAGGAATATTGTCTCATTACCAGTGAAATAAATGTATTTTATGTGCAGATTTGACTTGTTATTGTAGGTGAGTCAGAGCTCTTGTAATTATTAAAGCTTTTGTTTATGTTCATTCTTGTTGATTTAGGTTCTATAGGGGAGGGAACTGATATGCCATGTCACCATGCTTGAGATAGTTGACCTGGTGTGAAAATACAACAGCATTGGCCAAGCTCGCACATTTTAAGCAAAGCAGTATAGTTTGATTAACGTGCATGTGGATAGTCTATGCACATTGGTTGGCCAGGTAGTTATTTGTGTGTGCTTAGTTAACTATAACCAGCATTGTCTTAACTAAGACTACTAAGACTACAGAATGTTGTCTTGTTTGTCAAGATTTGGAGTAACATGAAGATCTTCAAACATTTTGTGAAAGTGTAAGAGGTGGTGATTTTGACCTCTTGTTGACCCTTTTTTGGGTTATTTTGTTGTCAAGGACAACTTTACTTTAGTTGTCAAGGGTGATAGGAGGCTGACAAGGTTGTCCATGATATTGAAGCCAAATCAGAAGGTGGTTAAATATTGGTAGGAGGTATGACTGAAACACCTGCCTGTTATTACCATTCATTTGTAAGTTAAAAGTTCATTTTATTTTTAATTGGAAACAGGGTTTTTTTTTTCTCCTTATATATAAATTTATGTGTTGAAAATTAGTAATAAATGAAACATGAAATTAATTTCATGTTAACATCATTTTTTATATTAAAATTTAGGTTTGTAAAATTATTATGAACTTAATATTTTTATCTGTTTCTGTAGTCAGTGAAGGTGTCAGCTATGAAGTCAGGAGTGGATAAATTTCCTCCATTTTACAAACCATTGGCCCTCTGTCATTTGATACTACAAATACTTGTAGAAATCATTCAATGTAATGTGATTGCATTGTGCTCAAAGAAATGTATTGCTCTCCTAAATCATTACGTCCCTCTCCTTTGACCCCACCATGTGTTTACTCCAGATGGAATCCTGACCAGAGGTCATAGGTGCCCCCTTGTTGGTTCAAATCTCATTCAGACCTGTTGACCCTTGTTGGCAAATGTCTGGAGCCACCACAGCCTGTCGGCACAAAATGTTTTCATGAACATGAAGAATTCACCACCCTCTTTTTTAAAATCTGAATGAGAACTTTTTTATATTTTACCTTTTGTGCAGCAAACAAAGCTACAATAAGACATTATTTATCCACTACAATTGCTACCTTGTTATAAATATTGATAGTGTAACTAATCCACTCAATAGATCCATTTTGAGGTGTTCATCTTGCCGCGCTTCTTTTAACAATCCAACAATAAAGGTGGTGTTAAAACTAATGTTGAGTTCCTGATTCAATTAAAGCAGAAAGAGTTTGGATTGAGATAACATATGCTTCAGTTCACTGACGGAATCCAGTAGCTAATTTTTCGGATCAGCCTCATTACGTTCCTACGTATGTAAGTAGTACATTTTGACCTACCTGCTTGAAAAAGATTTTTCTCATAAAATGCTTCTAGCACGAGCGGATTCTCCAGAAAAAATTACCAAAATTTAAGGATAAATGACAGCAGTATGCAAATGATATTATTCTGATCTCATGTGCATGTTTTTGAAGATGTTGACAAGAAGTAGTGATTGGAGTGTATTCCTTGAATTATATGTTGGATGGATGCAACATATTTTAAGAAAAAAATAAAATATTACAACAAACATCGGATATTGTCCTATCAAAATCCTCTTGATTGTTTATTTTGTATCTTTTCAGTTTTTAAATTTTAGAATTCACTGACTTAATATGATTTAATTCTTCCCATTTTTTTATTCATAATGTTTAATTTGTCTTGCTGTAGCAATTTCATGCTTGCTAAGCCTGAAATTGCCAATAGCTATTAATGTCTCATTTTCCAAGATCCTACAAGATTGGCATAGGAAATCTGGATTTTTTTCCAATTGAATTTTACCTTTTTGTATGTTTGTGTTTTCTTGATTAAAAAAAAAATGTGTATGAATTGTAAGTTCAGTAATCAGTAGATACATGTAAAATATCTGACTCTTCAACCTGATCAGCTCAAAATAAATTATTTGAATTGAGGCAAATTTGGTAGTGATACTGTTGCTGGAACTTTCAGTCATAAAATCTGTGATTATCAAACTTGAAGTGATGTTGAATTATGATAGGCTTGGCACCTTGACTTGATGATTAGTGCCCAAATTTACTACAAACATGTAAATATAATGAGCGATTATCTTTTTTGGTACAAATTTAAGCCACTCTGATTGTCTTTCCAATTCTTCCTTTTTTCTATTTCTTAATTTTATACTTTTTTTTTTCTTGCATTAATAGAAAACAAATGAGGTTCTTTTCATGACATTCACTTTATTCTTTGATTTGTTTACAGTGACATTATGACTGAATGTCATTAAACATTTTTAAATGTTGCTTAAACTTTCAACTGTAAGCAAATGATGGATTAATGTTTCAACGACACTTGACCTACTGTGCCTTATGAAGGAGAGAAAAGTAGTAAATATATATTGAGTAGAATCATATTCCATTCTTGAGTACAGTACTTTAAAATGTCTGAATATATAGTGTATTGTGTTTTCATGGCAAGATTAGTGTATGTGTAGTGGATCTGGCCTATATTATGTGTTTCTTACTACTATTTTTATTGAAAATGTGTCTATTTTACTACTGATGATAGTTAAATAGGAATTACATAAAATACTGCTTAATCAAAACATATTCGAACTTACCTGGCGAATATATAGTAAGTATACACTCGATAATAATATCACGATGATAAAAACGCTAAGTTTACAGCATAATACAACAATACACAGAATTTGTGCTTGAATTGTTCAGAAGCATTGTGTACAAACCAGTATTTAAAATCATTTACTCTAATACTAGATATGTGCCTACGGTTATAGCTGCAAATAAAACTGTTAAAAATGTTTTAATATGACTGTTTTTCATATTTTAATCTTTTAAATTTTTAGTATATTATTGATATTTTAAACATTTTTTGTAAATTTGTGTTTATTTGAGTAATCTGTAGTTACAAGTAAATTCTGAATCTGAATGACTATTATTATTAGAAATATGTATTAAAATTAAGAATGATATTTTAGTCATAGGTGCTGAAGTTTGAGGAAAAGGCGGGATGATACAAATCTTGACACAAATCTATTTAGATAAAACAGTAGATTTGCTCTGTTGTGGGGAAAAATAGGGGTGATTGAAACCTTGTGTATTGCCCAATTAATACTGTGGCTTGCTCATAACCCTAGGGGCCAAGCTGGCAGTAATTTATTATTTATATCAAATGACATTTATTATGTGATTATATATTATATTTTATATTCAATTTGCATTATAAAATAATATATAAAACTTCCTTAGGTAAATAATTTCAAAATATATTTTTTTACTCTTTCAGTTCCAAAGAAGGTTTTCAATCGGCCTCACCGATTTTCTGGTATGCCTGAATCCGCAAAAAATATACGCACTCAGGACACTGAAATTTTTGGAACGCAAAAGGATGCACCTAGCCCAGTGACGGAAGACGTGGCGCACACACCCGTTGCTCCAGGTAAGCGAGGTAAACGTATCAATCATCATTTTATTTCTGTGGGTTTTCCCCCACAATGTTGTTAGATGTGATGTTGCAATGTATTTATTGTGATTTGGTATTTCAGAGTGGTGTTTGGCAGTGTGTGTTTCAATTTTTTAAAAAGCCACATTTGATATTTTACCTCAGCCTCAGTTTGTTCTTATTTTATTCTTAATTTTTAATGCAATTTCAGCCTCAATGTTCTTATAAAATGTGTTCTTATAAAAAAAAAAAGTGTACCATTAATTATTGGGAGGGAAGTTGACACTTGGTGGTTAAGATATGCTATCTGTGGTTTAAGATAACATCCTAATTGTTTAAAGTATTTCTTGGTATATTTAAGCTTTCAACAAAGAATATATAATTGCAAGAGGTCTGACTTGTTAAGGTGCCCTTGAATTGAAACAAACTAGTCAAAAATTATGACTAGGAATTAGAGGGCACTCTTCAAATTAATGTAAAGGGTATTCGTATTGAACATGTGCCGCGTCTATAGAACACATGTTCCAAGTTTTAAATGCTGTTCGAATTCTATTAACGTGCCTCCCCCCCTCCCCCATCTTGGCGAGTTGATTACCCGAGTCAGGGGCACCGTAACCTTCAGCTCTAATATCGGCACTGGTTTAAACGGCTCATTCGCCATTGGTTCCGGTGGTGAAACAAGTCTTCAAACCGTAGGCCCAGTGTACGCATTTGGCTCGTGTGCACTTTAAAGAACCCAGTACATCATTCGAGAAGAGTAGGGGGTTACCCCGGTGTACTGGTTCATTAAGTCCCCTGTTGTTAAATGGATATGCCACGTAGGACAGTGATTAAATTCACTTACTGGCGTATCCTTGGCGCTCGTGCCTAAAGAAATGAAATGAAAAAATGAAATGGTAGCTGTGCTTCGCATTTTGTTTTATTACTTGCATGCTAAGGGATAATCGGACCTTATGCAATTCTATAGGGCCTGCTCTTTGCTTTCAATTAAGAATTGGAATGAGAATACATTTCCCTTGCCAGATGCATAAATAATGCCATTTCTATATTCATTTTGAAGTTTTATAATAAAAAATAATAATAATTTAATATCTAATAGTAATAATTTAATAATATAAAAGTATATAAGTCAAAGGTTATACAAAGAACTGTCAACACTACACGGTTTTATGACAATTGTGTGCCATTGCACATAATATGAGCAGGCACGATGAATGATGATGTCATCACACACATGTATGGGCAAATCACATGTATTTTTCGCATAAAATTTCATTAGGATATTAAAAGAGGCAAAGTTTGGGTTTGGTCTTCAAAACACCTCCATAGTGTATTGGTATAATTTTAAAGCATTCAAACCATCTATATGTGTTCATGAACTTGTTTTATTAAACTGTAAAACTTTATTATACTATGAAGGTCAGCTGGAGGTTAATTCAAGTAGAAAAACAAATCTAGAATGGCATAACATTTTAGAAAAAGTGTTTTAGTTTAATACGTAATTCATACTGGTAAAAAACTGGATATAACCATGTTGGTCAAAATCATGAGACAAATAGTAGATATGTATCAAATTTTATCAAATTTCTTTGATAAAAAACTGTTGTATGAACATACAGTGGTGGCTGTAGGATGTATTTTGTGGGGGGGGGGGCGCTAAGCTGTCCGACAGAAGGGACTTGAGCACATAGGCCCGAGCTGGGAGAAAGGTTTGAGAGTCCCCCTCCCAAATGAGATTTTTTAAGAGTAGGAACCTCTGGATGGTTGGAAATGGCACTCTCAGACTGACAGACATGTGTTGGCTTGGTGTGGGCCTATTTTTTATTTTTTATGGTCTGACTGCCCGACGAGACCTGTCCGGTGGGGAGCTTAAGCCCCCGTTCCCTGCTGGCGCCGCCACTGTGCCCATGTTTCATATGTTTCATGCTTTTTCATGTTTTTGATGTTAATCGTAATTCGTAATTCAGCCTTTTTTAAGTTGCCTGCCATGTTTTATGAATTTTTTGAATTTTGAATAAAATACCATATAAAGCACATAGGGCGCCTAAGCATCAAGTGTTGTTTTGTCGAATAAAATGTAAGCAAAATAAAGCCATGATTTTGCCAGCATATGTTATGCAGAGCTTATCAACAGGTCAGTAATGGACAGTTTATGTCAGGCCTATATACCACCACATTGTATCCTTCATTTATCTTCATGAGGATGGGTAATGTAAATAAATCTTATCTAAATTAGACTCAGTCCCAGCAATTGGAACACAAGATATTTAACTGTTTTTTTTTACTGGGCAGTTTATGTCTGGCCTAGCTAAACTACTACACTTTTCCCTTCAGTTATCGTCATGAAGATTGGTAAAGTAAATAAATTCCATCTAAATTTGTCTCTGTGCCATCAATCTACGATTGTGTTTTTCCCCAATAAGATATTGTTGACGATTGTTAGAGTCATTTAATGACCACCATATCCTCCTATCTCTTGTTTACAACAGCTTAAAGGAAGTATAAAGTAGTGTGAGGTAATATTACTTCCTCATTTTGTGTTATCACAAACATGAACACTTCATATTTTGTATTTAGTATGATGACGACAATGAAGCCGAACCAGTAACAAACCACAGATTAAAGCGATTGCTTTTATAGTTCACATTATATCCGATAAAATCCATCCTGAATGCAGTATAAATGTATAGTCCGGTTTGACAAATATTTTTATTGGGAACTCATTGGTGTAAGTGATCTTGACAAGTGACTAGATGCATGCATAGGGATGTTGGTATATTGATTTTATTCTGAATTATGGTATTTTGCATATTTATTTTAGTTTTGTGCATGAACTAGTAGTGCAGTTTTTTACTATCGTGCTTATACTTAGGCGGCCTATATCATTGCTTCACTGTGTGACCAGTGGCCGCCAAAAGAGCTTCTAGAAGGCCTATTACTTGTAGGCCCGTAACCCGGGGGTTTGGCCAATTCCCTTTTCACCAGTTTACTACTGTAGTATTTTATCATAACTTTTTTTTTTTATTAAAGAAACACTTTTGACTTAAACTTGGTCTATACGTAATCTCCCCCTTCTCATGAACCTGGTTATGGGCCCGTGGCTTAGCATTGCACTACAGAATTTATGGGCCCACAATACCCTCATGTACCCCAGCTCCTGTAACAAGTTTTTATGTTGCTACTTGTGACAGGTTTCTTCCACTAGGCCTGTCAATTGCCAAGTTCACAGCCTCTTATATGATGGGAAATGAAAGTTTTGGGGATTGCTTCCTTATTTCCCTCCTTATAAATTAATTCTTTGTATATTGCATTTGGTAAGTGATTGTTGTCTATTTAGAAGACAACAGCCACTATAATAAAATAATATACAGTATTCTAATTATTAGATTCACTTTTTAGTTTCACCTTCACTTTGTGTTATTGGTAATGAATTTTAATTATTGGGTCAGTATTTGTGAACTTAAAAAAATAGAAACTATTATCATACTTTGAAAAGACCATAATGAGTTTTATTATTTTATAAATAAATATATGTCCTCAAAAATGTCAGAAATTATAAAATAATAATAATCATCATAAATCATTATAATCATCATCATCAGCCATCATCACAACCATCATTTGTATACAGTACTACAGGGTTGTCTCTCTGTAAATTTATATCTTCCATATCAGTAGATAAAATGTCAGGAAATTGGAGAGAAATTAAAATTCATCTCAAAAGAAGCAGCAACCCATTACAACACATTTCTTTCCTGGAACATTAGCTCTTATTGCTTCCGAAACAAGATAAGACATGTATGTGATCAGCCTGATAATCAGATCTTGATAGATTCTCATGACTCGTGTGACATTACATGTTGTAAAAAAAAATTAAACTAAATATCTACTATGCTAGTTTGGCCATGTCATCAGAACTGATGAAAATTCAATATGCGTTCACTTTCATTATAATAATCTTTCTGAATAATGTACATTTAATGGAGTTATATTCACAAGTTGAAAGTAAGAATTTAATGGAAAAAAAACTGATGCATATGTTTGCCTAGATTTTCTAAGAAATTCTACTCTGTCTATCATTAATACAGATAGTTGTTACATTAAACATATGACAAATAGCAAATATTTTATTAGCCATAAAGTAATAGAATATAATATGGTTCCATCCAAATAAAATCATTACTTGATATGAAATAAAGTTATATTTTTTTTTTCAAAATTATAATTCTTTTTTTTTAAATTCCAACCTGGTGTGGGTTCCTTAACGATCCATGAGGAAATGATTACATAAATGTTTACATCATTATCTTAGAGAATGAGAGAAATTTGATAGGAATAGGATGTTGTTTAGAGTATGCTTGCTTAAGATACCAAATTCAATACCTACCTCTTCATAGCTGTATGAGGAACCTGTCTAGTAAAACATTTCATCTGAAGAGGTAATAATTTTCAATTTTTTTTAGGACATTACCTGGCAATGGGAAGATCCCAGGGGCAGAATCTAATCAAGGGACAACACTACCCTAGGGGTTTCTAGACGCCCGGAAATAACCTCTGAGGCATCTTGGGTGATCTATAATTTCTTTTTCTTTATTTTTTTATTTTTATTTTTTTTTAACTTTCCAAAAGGAGGTGCCGGGGCAAGAATACCCCCCTCCCCTTCTAAATCTTCCCCTGGATCCAGAGAAAAATCTAGGATCTGTGTAGGGGACGTGGAACCTGCAATGTAAATAGTTAACAAAATATTTAGTATTTAGTGTCATACAAGTACATTGGCCATTCTGTTGTTGATGGCTCTATACTATAGTTTATTGATGGTGATTTTCTAGGTTGTCATTTATGGGTGATTATCATCATCATTAGTGTTAATAATTAGGACAACATCACTTTTCACGTTCAAATGTATCTAACATTTTAATCCATAAATTTACAATTTGCTGATTCCATATAATGATGCATGGCTTCGAGTATCATCAAGCACTTTTACTGAGCCAAACACAAGCAAC